CAGGAGGAAGAGGAGGAGGGGGAGGAGGATGAGGAGGAAAGAAAAAGGGGAAGGAGGAAGAGGAGATGACGGAAAGTAGTCTAATCCGCTTCGCCAGAGATATGCTCGCAACTCCGATCTCAGAATCGCCTGGCTTCGCATCGGCCCCGCCGTTTTCGCTTGAGACATCATCGCAGCTCTGGGGCCCGAGACACTCTCAGTTGAGGTGTTCCAGCCGCTGTCGCTTGAGACGCTCTCGCAAGTCTCACTTCGGAGGTGCCTTGCGCCATGGTGGTTCGGCCACGTTCGCGTGCGACTTCTCGCAACTCTAAGTTCGAGGGCGCCCTGAGCAGAGGTGTTCAGACCACTCCTCGCTTGAAACTTCCTCGCACGGCTGACTTCGGATATGCCCTCCCCTGAGCGGAGGTGTTCAGGCCATTTTCACCCGGGGCGTCCTCGCAACACTGACCTCGGCGACGCATTGTCCCACGGTAGTCTGACCGCGTTTGCCCGAGACCCTCGCGCCCTTTAGTAGCGCGATGATCTGAGCAACTGGTCAGGCCACCGCCGCCTGATATACGCATGTGTATGCGCACGCGTAGGTACACGTACCATTTGCATACATATAATGTACATGTCCATACACACGTATGTATATATATATATATATGTATATGTACATATGTACTATGCATTCATAGACGCATGTGTGTGCGCATGTGCGCACGCTCGCACTCCGCTAGCGTGCGAATTCTAAAGGACCAAGGTGCATGGCGCGCAGCGCCAATGCAGTCTTGTATATATATATATGTATATATATATATATATATATATATATATGCCCTTCGTGGCCCCCGCTCGCTCGCGCCCGTCGTGGCCCCATGTGCGTGCCCATCGTGGCCCCGCTGTCGCCCTTTGTGGCCCCCTCGCTGCCCTTCATGGCCCCGTTGCTGCCCTCAGTGGCCCCGTCCTTGCCTTCCGCGGCCCGATGCACGTATGCCCTTCGTGACCCCCGCTCGTTTGCGCCCGTCGTGGCCCCATGTGCATGCCTTTCGTGGCCCCGCTGTCGCCCTTCGTGGCCCCCTCGCTGTCCTACGTGGCCCAGTTGCTACCCTCAGTGGCCCCGTCGTTGCCTTCTGTGGCCCCGCATTATCTGCCCTTCGTGGCCCCCGCTCGTTCGTGCTCTTCGTGGCCCCATACGCACTCCCTTCGTGTCCCCGCTGTCGCCCTTCGTGGCCTACTTCGTGCGTTTCGTGGCCCTGCTGTCGTTCTCTCTCTCGCTTTCGGTTTCGCTCGTCGTCGTCGTCGGCGTCCTCGTCGCCGTCGTCGTCGAAGTCGTCGTCGTCGTCGTCGTCGTCGTCGTCGTCGTCGTCGTCGTCGTCGTCGTCGTCGTCGTGGTCGGTCTTCTGTCCGTCCCTCTTGGGGTCAGGTTGCCGCCGATCAGCGTTGCCGCTGGCTAGGTCGACAGTTCGCGGCCGCCCCGCCGTTTGCCAGGGCCCGGCCTGAAGGAAAGAAAGGCATACCCCCCCCCCAAAGGGGTACGATCGAAGACGAAGAGGGCGGGTATCGAGGGTTTGGGAAATACGCGTTAACGGACACTCGGCAAATAAGAGCGAACAGTCTTAAAATGATTGTTGTTGTTGTCGTTGTTGTCGTTGTTGTTGTTGTTTTTGTTGTTGTTGTCGTTGTTTTTGTTGTTGTTGTTGTTGTTGTTGTTGTTGTTGTTGTTGTTGTTGTTGTTGTTGTTGTTGTTGTTGTTGTTGTTGTTGTTGTTGTTGTTGTTGTCTTTGTCGTTGCTGCTATTGCTGTTGCTGCTGCTGTTGTTGTTGGTTTTGTTTTCGTGCTTGCTTTGATTGTTGTGGTGGTGGAAATGGTGGTGCTGGTGATGGTGGTGGTGGTGGAACTCTCACTGTCGAAGGGTAAGTATCGTTGACCCTCCTTCTGGCGCGCAGGTATTTTTTCCATGGGAGTGCCCCTCCCGGGGCTCGCCTCTCGTTTTTGGTATCAGGGCAAGTCGTGAGGCTCAGACCAGGCCCCTGGCCCCCGAAGTGCAGCAACAACGGCTCGTTCCTAGCCCTTCCCGGCCTCCCGCCCCACGGAGCGGAGCGACACGCCTTCGGCTCGCAGGGGCACGGCGGGTCGCCGGGGCCGCCACGCCGACACGCTCCGCAGAGGCTTCCGCCCGTGACCAGTTCCAGCCACAGGAGCCGAAGCAACGCCGTGGCCGCCGCCGCCGCCGCTGCTGGCGGCCGCCCCCGGGGCCCTGTCGTCGTCGCTGCTGCAGCCGCCACCGTCGTCGCAGCCGCCGCCACCGCCGTCGATATGCGGACCGAAGGAGTGAGGACAGGTCGGGCCAGGAGTCGCGCACGGCGCTGGCCCGCGGGCCACCAGCTCGGCACGCTTGTGCATACGTGCAGGACCGGAAGACGGCAGACTGTGTAAGCGTTGGCCTACGGTCGGGAACTTTTGGATAGCGTGTCTCGCCGCGGCTTCTGGCCCACCGCCCATCGGTGCGACACGCTATCCACTTCACGGTCCCCCAGCGTCCACGTCCCGAGCCTTTCTGAGCCTCCCGCCCCGCGGAGCGGAGCGACACGCTATCAGCTCGCAGGGCACAGCGTGTCGCCGGGGGCCGCCGCCGGGACACGCTAGGCAAAAGCTCCTGACCGTTAACGTGCACGACCCGCAGATCTGACGTTGCAAACAAGTTGCAACACCACAAACAAATCCCCAGTTTACCCCAAAAGGGGGTGCCAGCTCAAAAGGGGTGGCGCAATAGCTTTGGGGCAATTGTATTGCAAATGCACAGCGCCAGAGAATCGTATAACATTGCATTGCAACTGATGTACTGCACGCAAATGTCCAGCAATACGTTTGCGCTCCAGCACGCCCCAAATCCATTGCAGCCCCACACATCTATCGACCAGATCTGCCGCACCACCCTCTTGCAGCCGGACCTCCGTGTGCGTCAACCAGAAGATCACCACCCGAGCCCCTGCCCGCATCTCTCTGCGCCATGCTCTGAGCCACATCGATCCGTGAGGGTCCGGGGGCGCGAAGACGGGCGCACACGCCCGTGGGGAAACGCCTGCAGCGCCAAGCTCCCACCTGACCTGTGGACAGCGGGCCACTTGTCGGGGAAGCGTGAGGCTCGAGTGCGCGGGAGCTCGGGTTCGCGGGCGCTTTTCGACGAACCCGCCCTGGATTTTGACGGCCCGGTTTTTTTTAGGACGCTTGCAGCGGGAGCTCGCGCCCCATTTCGGACTCGGTCTCGTCCTTGTCATGATGGCCCCGTCAGGCCAACCCGAGTCCCCCGAACCCGAGTCGTAGGTCTCCCCGATCTGTACGTCACCCGGCCGCAGGAGGAGGACGAGGAGGACGAGGAGGAGGAGGAGGCGGAGTAGGAGGACGATGAGGAGGAGGAGGAGGAGGGAGGAGGAGGAGGAGGAGGAGGGGAGGGGAAAAAGAGAGGAGGAGGAGGAGGAGGAGGAGGAGGAGGAGGAGGAGGAGGAGGGAGGAGGGAGGAGGAGGGAGGGAGGAGGAGGAGGAGGAGGAGGAGGAGGAGCCCCGCCAGCTGCCCCGGGGGTTGCAGCCGGCTCGACACGTCCGGAGCGAGGCGCGCCGGCAGCTCGCAGGGGGGGCTGCCCTCTCCGGGCGGCGGCCCGTGCCCCTGGCGGTCCGCCGGGGGCCCCCAAACGGGGCGGTGGCCACACCGTGCGGCGAGTCGGTGGGGATGATTCTCAGAGCGTGAATTACCTACCCCGCTTTCGCTGCCAGGCAGAACCAAGTCACGCCACGCGGTCGTAGTCTGGCGTCGCTTGGTGTCTCTTGGAAGCGAGGGTGGTCAAAAGCGAGGTAGGTTTGTTTGCCCCCTAGATTCGGGGTCACCGCACGGTTTTGGGGCTCGGGTCGTTCTCCGAGGACGTCTCGGGCGGCAGGGGCCTCCAGGGTCCCAAAACCGTGCGGGGACGGACCGTGCGGTGAGGTCTAGGGGGAATTTCGAGGTCACCGCACAGTGTGTCACCGCACCGTTTCGGGACTCCAAAGTCCGTGGAGACGGCTGGAGCGCACACCAGCGGATCGAGCGAGAGAGGGACAGAGAGAGAGCGAAAGGCTCAGCGGGGACGATGCACTCAGTGGGCAGGCCCAGGGTGGGCACAGGGCTCGGGGTTCGAGGTTTGAGGGGCCCGGGAGCTTCAGGGCAGAAGTACGTCCGCGTCGTGATGTCCCGACGACGCGGGGGGGGGGGGCGGGGGCGCTCCCTGTGCCCCTGCCATGCCCGAAGGCCATCCCGAAGGCCGCTGCCAGTCAGGGGCAACATCAGGGGAGGCTGAGCTCACGGGGTGTAGGTTTGAGGTTTGAGGCTCGAGGTTTGAGGTTTGAGGTTTTCTGGCGCTTTCGTCGGTCCTCGGCGGCTTTCCAGCCTCGGGCTGCGTTCCAGCAGCTGCGATTCGCCGAGAGCGATCCTGGGGTGTTCAGATCGTCCCGAACGGCCGCCAGAGAGCCGAGTTATGACCCGATGACCTACAGTCAACGTTATGGGGGGATGAGTTCAGGGGGGGATGCATCGACCCCCAATCGCCCATTGATCGCCGATAGGGGCCCGATAGCCCCACCCGCCCAGGAACGTTCGGATTCATCATCAGCGGCCTATCGCCGATCTATCGGCGATGTATCGCCGATTCCAGGTCGACGTTCCCCCATGCCATTCCCCCCCTTTCGTTGCTGGACGACAAATTCGAGGTTCGAGGCTTTCGGGCGTTTTCGTTGGTTCCTGGCGGCTTTCCAGCCTCGAGGTGCCTTCCAGCGGCTGCGCCTCGGCGAGAGTGCTCTGGGGGTGCTCAGATCGTCCCGAACGGCTGCCGGAGAGCCCAGCTATGGCCCGAAAGCCATGGGACAAGGGGAACAAAGCAATAGAAAGAAAGAGGGAGAAAGAGAGAGAGAGAGAGAGAGAGAGAGAAAATGAGAGCGAGAGAGCGATAGCGAGAGGTGGGACGGGCACGCCGAGAAGCGCTGCCGAGGCCTCTGCGCATCTTCCGCAACGAGCTGCTGGAGGGCCTGCAGCTCAACTTCTACTCGAAAGCGCCAGTGCGGCCCCTGAGGACCTCTGGGGCGCTTCGAGATGATGCCGCGCTCCTCGCAAGGAGAAGGTTCAGGAGGAGGAGGAGGAGGAGGAGGAGGAGGAGGAGGAGGAGGAGGAGGAGGAGAGGAGGAGGAGGAGGAGGAGGAGGAGGAGGAGGAGGAGGAGGAGGAGGAAAAGCCCCGAGGGGGCCTCACCCGTTGGGGGTGGGGTCGGGACCCCAGGGTCCTCCTGGCGCAGGCGGGGAGCGCTGGGCCCGAGGCGCGAGAAACCCCCGCACCTGGGAGGATGGCCGCCACAGCGTGGTCCCTTTCCCCCTTGGAGGTCGCCGGACGCGCTGTTCCCTGCACGGCCGGGGGTCTCCCCCCCCCCCCCCCCGGCTCGCCGTGTGCGGATCGTGCTTGGCGGAAAGAGCGCGTTCTGCGGTCGTTTGGAGGGGGGGGTTTGGAACCCGACCCCCCGCCCCCCCCGTGGATGGACGGGGGGGGGGTTCGAACCCCCCCCCCCACCCGCTCCCCCTCCCGTGACGCAGGGGGGGGGTTCGAACCCCCCCCCCTGCTTCCCCTCTCCTCAGGCCGGCGCTGCGCTTGGGTCGGCGGCTGCTGGCGACGGCGGCGGGGACGACGATTTCCATCTCTTGGCCAGCGCCGGCGCCTGCGGCGGCGGGCGGCGGTGGCGGGGAGCGTCGACGAGGACGACAGTGGTGGTGGTGGTGGTGGTGGGTTGTGGTGGTGGTGGTGGTGGTGGCGGTGGTGGTGGTTGTGGTGGTGGTGGTGGTGTGGTGGTTTGTTGTGGTGGTGGTGGTTTGTGGCGGTGGGTGGTGGTGTGTGGTGGTGGTGGTGGTGGTGGTGGTGGTGGTGGTGGTGGTGGTGGTTTGGTGGTGGTGTGGTGGTTGTTTGTGGTGGTGGTGGTGGTGGTGGGCTGTGGTAATGGTTTGGTGGTAGTGTGGTGGTGGTTTGTGGTGGTGTCGGTGGGTTGTGGTTGTGGCGGTGGTTTGTGGAGGTGGTGCTTGTGGTGGTGGTGGTGCTTGTGGTGGTGGTGGTGGTGGTGTGGTGGTTTGTGGTGGTGGTGGTGGGTTGAGCTGCTGGTAGTGGTGGTGGTTGTGGCGGTTGTGTGGTGGTGGTGGTGGTGGGTGTGGTAGACTGTGGTGGTGGTGGTGGTAGTGGTGGGTTTTTGTGGTGGTGATGGTGACGGTGAGTTGTGGTGGTGGTGGTGGTGGTTGTGGTGGTGTGGTGGTGGTTTGTGGTGGTGGTTGGTGGTGGTGGTGGTGGTGGGTTGTAGTGGTGGCGGTGGTTTGTGGACGTTGGTTGTGGTGGTGGTGGTGGCGATGGTGGTCGTGGTGGTGGTGGTGTGGTGGTTTGTGGTGGTGGCGGTGGGTTGTGCTGCTGGTAGTGGTGGTGGTTGTGGCGGTGGTGGTGGTGGTGGTGGTGGTGGTGTGGTAGACTGTGTTGGTGGTGGTAATGGTGGTGGGTTTTTGGTGGTGGTGGTGGTGGTGATGGTGAGTTGCGGTGGTGGTTGTGGTGGTGGTGGCTGTGTTGTTGTTGGTGGTGGTTGTGTGGTGCAGTTGTTGTTGGTGGTGGTGGTGGTGTTAGTGGGTTGAGGCGGTGGCGGTGGTGGTGGTGGTGGTGGTAGTGGTTGTAATCGTCGCTGCGTCCCCGCCGTCGCCGACGCCAGCGCCAGCGCTGCTGGCCGCCGCCAGCGCCGGCGCCGAGGGGAGGGGGGGGTTTGAACCCCCCCCCCTGTGCTGCCTCTGGTCATCTTCGCTGCGTCCCCGCCGTGGGCGCTGCTGGCGGCCGCCAGCGCCTGCGCCGGCGCCCAGGGGAGGGGTTCGGAAGGGGGGGGCTTGGGGGGGAGGGGAGTCCCCTTGGTTTTGATCGCCGGAGCCGAGTGTTGGGGAGGGCCCCCCCCCCCGGTTTGAAACGCGCCACCGAATGTTCCCAAGGCAAGCGCCCGTGAAACGCGTTCTCTCGCTTAGCGGCTCGTCCTCCCCTGTCGGTCGTGTCGTTGTCTGCCGCGGAGGTTGGGCGTTGCTGTTGGCGGGTGGTCCTCGGCACCCCAACCGCTGCGGCGGATTTTCCTCGTGCTGGAGCTCATCGCTTCGCTGAGGGCAGCCCGCTCGCGCGTCCGCCTTGGGCCGCACGGCCGCGTTGGCCGCGCGTGGACTCGAGAGGTGCGCCCGTGCTTCGGGCGCGCCTCCATGAAGGATTGGAAAATCAAAAGAGGACGAGGAGGAGGAGGAGGAGGAGGAGGAGGAGGAGGAGGAGAAGGAGGAGGAGGAGGAGGAGGATCGGCAACACCCAAACATACTTATACTACATGTGCGTCGCCCCCCCAGGGGCGACGCGCGCACCGAGAAATCTTATAGTATATGCGTTGTGGCGGGCGCTTTCTGGCCACACCGCTCGGGAAACGATATACTACAAGATGGGTATACTATATGTTTGGGTCGGACGCGCGCCTCCAAGGAGGACATATAGTATTAGTATGTC